ACGCAAAAATAACAAATGCTACAAGATGGTACTTAGAAGTAGAGAGAAAAGAAAAAATATACTTCGAACGAGCGACATAGTATTTTAGATATGAAGTCTGATAATTACATCAATGGAATAACAAAAGAATATATTTTACAAGTATCGGCAAATGATTAAATTAATACGAATGCAGAATGCAAGGCTATGGAAGTAAGAGTATCACAATATGCCAGTAAGGATAACGTGAAAAGAATATAGGAATAAGTCTAAGAGTATTGGTTTAAGATTTTAGTTGCAATCATAAAATAATGGAAGTATACCCACTGAAAAAAAGTCACTTTATATCTGATTTTGTGAGATTATCATCGGATTTTTCTGCAACAAAATCCAAATTATAATCGATTGAAATTTTCCAAAATCCCAAGTAATCTGATTTTTAATCAAAAATAATTCTTCGAAATTAGGAATACTTTAGACTTTAATCAAATTATATTGGATTTTAATCAAAATCTTACTTGATTTGGAGGATTATTTCGGATAAAAAAACCTTTTCGAAATCAAGTAAAATTTTGATTAAAATCCAATATAATTTGATTAAAATCTAAGATATTCTTGATTTCGAAGAATTATTTTTGATTAAAAATCAGATTGCTTGTGATTTGGAAAATTTCAATCGATTATAATTTGGATTTTGTTGCAGAAAAATCCGATGATAATCTCACAAAATCAGATATAATCTGACTTTTTTTCACTGGGTAGATAATAGGATGACATGACAGGTATAAGGTATAACATCAAGGCTACAGCTTTGCCAAGTTGTGTTAAGTGTCTAGATGTGAGACTTAAGTTCAAATGAAATAGTTACCTACGTAAGTAAATGTACAATGGTGTGGGTATATCCATATATGCAACATCGGATCCAAATACTGATTCTACGTACATATTCAGTATGTCGTGAGTTCTTATGAGACTATATCCTTGAGTCTCTTACGAATGACAGAGTCAGAAGTTGTATGAATTACGTAATAAGCGTGCGGAAATACAATGAAAGTCAATAGTACGAGTTATTGTGTTCATATAACATCATATAGTTAAATCTTATACGTAGTTCAATGTAAATTTTCATGGAGATTGCATAGATGAAGATTTTCTGTATGGTTTTTTGGATGATTTTTATATGAGTCCGTATGATCTTAGAGTCACAAATTATATGAATATACAAGATCATATGATGATTCGTGTCAAAAATGTCTATCACTGAGTGTAGGCTTCCATGTGGGTGTGAGTATGGATGATAGAAAAGTCATCCCCATACTTTTCCAAGAGAATTCCATAGAATTCTGAAGAACGCGAAAGAGTCCTAAAGAACTCTGAGGAATCCTTAGGATTCGGAAGAGTTCAAGATTTCAGAGTTTCGTGATTTTCATGTGGATAGACTAAAATATGGGTTGTTGCTAATGGAAACTCAATAATCTATATGAATTTCGCATATTTTCTTTTCGTATAACTGAAGTAATAGATTGTTTCTCGAAAGAACTAATGACTTGGATCCATCCGATTCTGTACGAATAACAAGAGAAGCTAATTCGAACGTGCGATGGAGTCATTTTTTTAATTAACTTGTGTCCTTGGCTTTTTTCTTCGAAACCTCATTACTTGTGTATATGCTATGTAGCTTTCTTGATCACTTTTGAAATACTCTCTAGTTTTAGAAATTCTGTTAATAAGGTACCCATCAAAATCAAAATCAAGTAATGAAAAACAACCATACCGATTCAATTCTACTGATGGTTTCTTTCGACTTGGTCGAGTGTTGTGTACGTCAAACGAGTGAGTTGTTTATCGAATAACTCTTTTCTTATCTTTGCATCATGGTAATATTTCGGTCTCTTTTTGTCTCTTGTTTTTTTTTTCGTTTTCGTTTTGAATACTTTTTATCAACACTCTATTTAGAAGGACTACAAGTGATGACAATAAAATATTCAAGATAAAGAGCAGAAGACAAATATTCGGCAACAAAAAAAAAATTTATGCACAAAGGAATTCAATTCGTAGAAGTGTATACATTAATATTATTTCTATACAACGTACAATAGTGTTGGCACCGTCCAACAATGAACAATCACTAATAAAGATGAACTTTAAGAATAGCCTATAAGAAAATCTGATTCTGGACTACAAGCATACTATGAGTATTTTTAAAATTATTTCATATGTTATTTCATTCATAGATCAGACTTACATGATTATCAACATCAGACAATTTTTCTCCAAGTTGATAAGAACAAGTGATAATTTTCAATACAATCTCTAATTTTCGAATTTAATTCATATTTTTCTTCAATGAAACAAAGAAACGACTAGATAAATTTTCGTTCATGTTCATTTGAACTTGAACTGCAAAGTATTTTGTGTATTATTAAAAGAGCATTTTCAAAGGAATTTGGGTGTGTATAGCTACCACGAAACTTAAAAGTTTTTCAAATTTGCTAAGTATTCTTATCAAGTGGCAAGTATCTCTATGGATGATTCGAAATTAATATATTATGAATTTTATAAAGGAGAGAACAGTGTCTCCTAGTTTTTTCTCTGTGAAATGATAGCGGAAGAACAAGGGGTCTGTGTTATGCTTATTTATGGGAGTAGTCCTGTTTTATTTCTATCTCAGGAATAGGTTGTGATGAGACAGTCTGGTTCTCCTCATGTATTTATTTTTCGCTACTGCTGTGTAGATGTTTCTCTCATCGTAGCACATGATATGTTAGCGCGATTGTTTGTGCGTTTGTACGGAGGAATACCCGCAGCTTTGCTGTGAAAGGAAGTTTATCGTATGTACATTTGACGCGAATAACGTTTCGGTTGCAGATTTAGTGTTTCAACTTGTTTTAGGGGTACATGTAAGGGGCTGTTTTGTGTGATGGTATGGTTGAAATGGTTTCAAAGGGTAGTGGGACTTAAGAATCGAAGAATACTTCTTTGTGGTAGGTCATTATTAATGGTACTTCTTGAAGTAATTTTTCTGTTGTCACCTATTTCTGTGCATGAAGTTTGCCTATTTGTGTGGTGGATTTTCTTTAAGAGGGTGTGGGTGTGGGTGTGGGTGTTCGTATGGGTGTTCGTGTGGGTGTTGACAGCAGAACAGACACCCACACCCTGAAATATTAAAAGTACACTTAGGGTTAGCGCTTTTATTTCAGTTGAGTGTATGAACGCTTACAATCACGTAAGACACATCAAATGCTAAAGCTTTGAATGCTAAATACTAAAGTAACATAAACACTGAAGTTTATGAAGTAACGATTTGCAAGCATTTTTGTTGAAGTTGAGATAGGTCTAAACTCCCAAAGACATTCTATGTGGATGAACGTTTTATGCAATCGTGATCAGCTCGTCGAGTTCTACAAACTGACATGTATTAGATTGAAAACGGAGACTGACACTTGGGGACTTTCAATCTTGAGTCACAAAGACTCAAGATTAAGTGAATCCTCTCAGTTCAACCGAATGCAAACTTGTACCTTTTTTATCACTAAGTAGTTTGTCAAAAACGTCCCTTCAAACTAACTGAAATGTTATTCTTCAATATTTCATTTTAGTGGGCTCTCATCAAATTGTCTTAATGCATATTGATCCGAAACCATGTTTTTTGCTCTATACACTTTGAAGAGAATGATCGTCTTTTGTAGACATTGGGCTAAGATAAGAGAATTGCTTCTGAAAGTGTCCTGGGCGGCGCTTCAAATTGACTACCAAATTGCAAATAAATATTCTCAGCAAGCTAAAGCCGTAATGAAGAGAAAAAAACGAAAAATGCATTTCTCTCAGCAAGTGTAAATGTTAGATCGAGTGTTCTTATGAGTTTGTAGAGAATTGAATGAAGAATATTTTGAGAGTAAGGGCAACTTTCTACAACAAAACATGATCAAGTTCAGAAGAGAATGCAAATGATGTCATTCTTTATGGTGCACCCGTCAGTACCATCAATATTCATGATCATGTCGTATTCTTTCAAGCTAGCGGGAAACTGGAAGGAACAGTTTGCCAAAAGAATTTTGAATTTTCAGCCTCTCTGAATTTAAGTGAAAACACGAAAAAGAAACATGTATTCGGACTCTTTTTGAAGTTATTTTCATTGTATTCCTCCACAAGATGTCTAAATATGATTCCCAGACCTTGTGAGAGTTTCAGACATTGCAAAAATGTTTTTGAGGGAGTGGCAAATGTTGAAATATATCCGTGCATCAAAATAAAACCGAGCCAAAACATCTTCAGACATGATGATCTATTCAAATCGCAGCTTCTTATACGAATAAAATGTTCAACAAAATTTATTTATTCGGTCAGATCTCACACTTGGCATACAAAGGATTATCAAGACAATCTCATTTTGATTATTAGGTTTCATACAGAAAAGCTGAGCTCATGATGTAACCCTAAACTAAATGGAGCGAATAGAGATAAACTGATAATTAGTCAATGGCAAAGAGTTTCTAAAATGTATCCGTAGAACAAGAAGTTTTATCAATAACGTACATTTTAACGTAATGGCTGTAATAATCGACTACATATAAGTTTTCGTGTCGAAGGTGTGGGTGTAAATGTGAGTAGCTCCATTCTCTGTGCTAATCCACACCCACACCCATATTGCAAAGAAAAAAAAATATTTCATAGAAATAAAACTCAGTTCGATTTATGTTTAAAAAAGAATTGAAATTTACATCGACTGAAATAAACATTTGTGATTAATATTTGATCTTTCCTTTCATAAACATAAACGGAATGTCTTGATCTATTATAAAAAATTTTTTCTAAAATTTCTTTAAGATAAAGATCGTTTTGGGAAAAATATTCCAAAGGAATAACTAATTTCCAAGTATTTTCATGAGAAATTCCAAGTAAACTTTTCCAACCTCTTCGAGCATATAATGGAATTGATAATTTAAATCCATTATTTAAAACTAAGACTAATTTTGTATGTAAACCTCTTTCATTGAGACCTCGATGAGAAAATTTTTCTAATGTATTTTTATGTAGTTAGAGATGAAAAAATTTGGTTCAAACCAATTGCTGCACATCCACATGCATCATGGAAATTATTTAATAAAAATGGTTCTATTGATAATGCAAAAATTCCATTAATATCTGTCAGTGCTGATGGTGATAATATCTTAGCTGTTGNTCAGGATACACGAGGGGGACCCAAGGTACAGAAACCGTAAATGTTGTTTTTCGAGGAATAAAGTTGATAAAAGTAATCAGAGACGATTCCGTATTCGATGCACAAGAAACGCTCACGCTCATGAGCGCTCATATGAGCGTGAGCGTGAGCTGTGCACCCCTAATTGTATCATTCTTTTCAGAGCAGTCTTGAAGAGAGCACGAAACGAAATCGAATTAAAAGTTTCTCAAGTTGAGCCGAATAGAATCGAATGAAACTTTCTAAAAAGTGGGTTGGATCGAATCAAATCGAATTGATTGAAGGTTTGCAGAAGATAGTTCCGATCGAATCGAATGAAAAATTGTTTTTCAGTCGAGTTGAATTGAATATGGTTGATACGCCTCATTCGGCTTTTTTTTGCGTTCGATCATGCGATAATCTTACACGTTAGTGATGATTGGTTTACACGAACAACACATACAAGAGAACACAACACCAATTTAGACATTATAATTAACTTTCTCCAATTTTTGTAAATGCATTTGTTAACTATGAACGTGTAATCAAAAGACGAATATGTACGATACTAAGGTGGGTGGGTGTGGACGTGTGGGGTGCGCCTGTGCTTGTGGATGTGGGTGTGCGTGTGCTTGAAGCAAAGAAGTACATCCACACTCACACCCTTCTTATAAATGATGTCCAATGAAATGGAATCATGTGCTTCGAACAAGACTAGCCGCAATTCGACAGCGCAAAATCGGATCACAATAGTTAATGCAATTGAAAATCGTCGATTACATATGATAAAACGGGCCAAATATATCGTTAATCAAAAACTGGTCATGTATTTTACTGCTAATCAATTCTTAGAAATATAAATAAATATGAATTATTCTTTTTATTTGCAAAACCATTACCGTTTCACAATTATTTTATTTTATTTTTATTCAGTATTCCTATTTCTGAATATATCATATGGAATTTTGTCATTTTTTTACATTAATATTATTCAGAATGTTCTATTCTTTTGAAAATTAAACATATAAAATTTCTTTTCTATCTATCCTAGATGATGCATATATCTTTCACGAATCACCAGTATAACAAAATTAGAAGTAGCATTTCTATTGCAATTTCAAGAATTGTAATTTCATAAAAGAAGCGAGCATCATTTCATCGCCGCATATTTCCAATGCTTTTCTCTTTCAAATCGAATACTCCACTGAAGAAAAAAAGCAATGCTCACATACAAAACTCTTCAGCGTAACACTTTATCTCCAGATATCAACACCTGCTATATAATAGCATTCCTCCCATAAAAATACTTTCATTTTCCATTTAATCTTATGCAATAATAAATACAGACACACAGGTCAGTAAATCTTTTATGCACTAATCTTCTGCTTTGCAATATAATTAATGCATGAAAACAGCGAAGAGATTTTTCGATTTCTTTCCATTTTAGTCTGTTAATTCTCATTTATATAAGCAGATTTCTTCTCTTCTATCACCTGATGATTGATGTTTTAATAACAAAGATTCAAATCCGGATTGTGGTAGTTATCTTGAAACTCATCCCTCACCCGTACTCTTATTCATAAATAATAAACTTCTATTACAATCGATTTTTGTTTTGTTTAAATCAAGAATAGAATATTTCTTCTAAAATCAAATATTTGTAAAATAAATTGAAAGAAAAAGTCTTTTATTTGTTATAAAATCTCAATAGTGATTAAATTATATCAAATCAAGATTCAAGAGATAATGCGACGAAGAAGATTTGCTGACAATCATATTCATTTATATTAATAAATAATTTTTATTTTATTAATTACTCTATTGATAGAAGAATATTTAGAAAACTGATTTATACTTCAAAATCGAAGAAAAATAATAACCGATTCATATTTATTTACTATATGACATAGACTTTTTAAAAGTAACGTTATATTTATTCTTATCAAATGCATTATCATTAACATGACATGACAAAATATATTTGAGTACTAAAACAAGGTTGACTTTGCACAATTTAGTTAAAATAAAAACAAAATGACGAATATATTTTTTCTATTCATTGCTGTCGGTTTATTTCTCAGTTATTGTTCGAGTAAACCAACATCATCATTAGATGAAGCATGGAAATTATTTAAAAATCTTCATAATAAAGAATATAATTCAATTAATGATGAACAACTTCGGTAAGAAGAATAAATTTAAATAAACAAAAGAATTTCTTTTTCTTTTTTAGACGAACTATTTGGGAAGAAAATGTTCGAATGATTCAAAAACATAATTTCGAATCTGATTTGGGTATTCACACATTTACAATGAAAGTTAATCAATTTGCTGATCTTGTTCGTCTTGATATTTTCTTTTAAATTAATAATTGATTTCATTTGAATTATTCTAGACAAACGAGGAATTTGTTAAACAAATGAATCAATTAAAAATGAATCCTGAAAAGAAATCAAATAAAAAATTTCATATTCCATCAAATATAAATCTTCCGAAATCTGTTGGTAAAAGAATTCATATTTTTTCTCTAAATAAATTTGTTATTCATATTATCATTTAGATTGGCGTACAAAAGGATATGTTACACCCGTTAAAAATCAAGAACAATGTGGATCATGTTGGGCTTTTTCTACAACTGGTACACTTGAAGGACAAATTGCAAAAAAAACACAAAAACTTGTTGCTTTATCTGAACAACAGCTTGTTGACTGTTCAACAGATTATGGAAATAACGGATGTTGTGGAGGCCTAATGGATAATTCATATAAATATCTTGAAGACAATCATGGAATTGATACGAATGCAAGTTATCCTTATGAAGCTATTGATGGAAAATGTCGATTTAACGTTAAAACTGTTGCAGCTGATGTTACTGTAAATTAAATTTTCTTTTAAATTAAAATAAGATTCTTTGTTTTGTTTTTCAAGAGTTATGTTGATATAAAAGCTCAATCAGAAGCTGATCTTCAAGATGCTATTGCAACAATTGGCCCAATAGCAGTTGCTATGGATGCTAGTCATACTTCATTTCAGTTTTATTCAGCAGGTGTTTATTCGGAAAAGGATTGTTCATCAACAATCTTAGATTTTTCACTTTTGGCTGTTGGATATGGTACAACAATAGATAATCAAGATTATTATATTTTAAAAAATCAATGGTCAACACAATGGGGTATGGAAGGGTATGTTTTAATGGCAAGAAATAAAAATAATCAATGTGGTATTGCAACAATGGCTAGTTATGCACTTATTTAAAATAAACATTTTATTTTAATAAATTAAATAAATAAACTATTCTTTTATTCTTTTTCTCTTTATATATTACGATCAGAGAGATATGCAAGTGTCAGTTGTTTTTCAAAATCCATATTCTACAAGAAAATTGACATAACCTTGTGAATGATCAAAACTGAAATTTTCTGCGCTGAATTTTTTGAATTCCAGAAATTGTCTCCATTTTTTTTCGCTATACTATGTAAAGATTAATTATTGGAATTACATTACTTTCATAACCTGAAGGGTGGATGTGGGTGTCGGTGGGTATATGTGTAGTTCATTCTTACAAACACACTTACCCACACTTTCCAAAGGATTCCGAGGAACTCCAAGGGACACCAAAGAGTTGAAGTCTGCCGTTTCCCCTTTGGTCAGGATGCATGTTTACATTATTCTCTTATATTTAGTTTATCTCGAAAAAAAGACACGAAATCAGTTTTTGTATTATCTCCATAATGTCAATTCTCTATATGAGTTCCTCATCACAGAAAAATTTGAAATAAAATCGATAAAAAAAACCAAGCTTCTTTTTCCGTAAATATTTGAATATAATTGTCGACAACTGAATAAAAAAGGTTTTACGATTTGATATTATTTTTAAGCTTGTGAAAACTATTCTTCAAGTGAAATGAATCGCTGAACGACTCCATCTATCCAGACAATATGATTTTAATTGAATAATAAATAAACAAAAAAGTTCAAATTTCAGATGAGCAATCATTGATAAATAGGTTTTCACTAATAGTTTTCTCTTCAATAACTTAACTTTGTATATTCAAGGGAACAGGTTTGTCATAGAAATTTTATTCATTTATCATATAAATAAAAATGAAATTCTTCAGATTTATTTTTATTTACTTTTATCATCAGAGAAATTTTCCATGCTAAAACTGAAATAGTTAAATAAGTAAATTATTATTGATAAAGGTAACTTTCAAAATGTTGAAATGTTTTCTTGTGAAATAAATTAAAATTTAATAATTTCAAATGATTTCCAATTGGATAATTAGTTTAGATTGTCTTGAAATAAAATTTGTAGAATAGAAGAATTACCAAACGAAATAATCTATCGTATATTTGATAATATTGATGTTAATTCAATAGTTAATTTGAGTTATACATCTCGAAGATTTTAATATTGTCGAAATAATTATAATTTATATAAATTAAATTTGGAATCCACATCAAAAGAATATTTTGATTTTATTTCTCGTATAATTCATCCAGAAAATATAAAATCATTAAAATTATTTGATGATGATTATACACCTGGACAAATAAAATCATTTATTAAAAATTTTCAAATCGATAAATTAAATCGATTAAAATATTTAAAATTAATTAAAATAAATGAAAATGATTTAGAATCAATATTAAAACATTTAATAAATAATCGTTTGAATTATCTTGAAATTGAATATCGACAATATTTTACAATATTAAACCAATCAACAATATTAATTCTTCAAAATCTATTAGCATTTGAAACTCTTCAAGAAGTTAATTTAGATATGAGATCTTATCAATATGATTTTGTTCAATGGCCACAATCAAATTATATTCAAAATATGACTTTATGTAATTAAAATCTCTATCAATTTAGTCAAATAATCGAAAAAGAAAATCAATTTAAATCAATAAGACTTATTAACTTTACAATGACAAATCTCAATGAAATATCATTTTAAAAAATTCTCTAAAACAATTAAAATCATTTAAAATTGAACGAACTGAATTATTTATGGATAAAATTCAATCGATTATATTATTAATGAGTAAACTTATTTATCTTCAAATTGAAGGATTTACAAATATAATTGAAAATATTTTTCGAAATAATCAATTAGAAGAATTTTTTCAAACAAAATTAATTCATTTAAAAACATTTACATTTTTTATTCGTTTTTCACCGCGTGAATTTCTAAGAGATAATTTAATCATTGATTCATTTATAAAACAATTTCAAAGACCTTATTGGATATCAAATTTAAATTGCTTCATTAATTGTGATTGAATTCAGAATTTAAATGAAATTCATTTATATTCAATACCTTCAATATATAATTGTTTTAAATATGCAGATCAAATAAATATGATTTCATTTTTGACTTCAGCTTCAACTAATTATTTTAACCAAAGATTTCATTTTGTTTATCAATTAGAATTAAATTTCAAAGATTTAGAAACGCAAATAAAGGTTCGTCTTTCTATCTTACTTTTTTATCATATATTTAAGGATGTGTATACTCACTTTTGATATAAACATTGCATAATTATATTTTATCTCATTCACAGTTGAAACAAATATTTTCCAATAAACAAGTCTTTTTGTTATTGTTCTGATAACTAAAAGTTTTGATTTCGTTGAAATTTAACTGATTATCGAAGAAAGTAAATCGTAAACGGTTGATTTTCAATAGACTCATTGAAAACTTCCACTTGCTGCAAAATTTCGTGCTTGCTCACATATATTTTTGATTGCTTAAGTCTACTATGAAAAAAATCCAAATAAACCGAAAGAATTCGATAGCAAATTGTAGAACTCTTATTTGACAATTGAAATAGCATGCGATGCAAAAGTCGTCGAAAAAATGTCAATATATGCTAGATTACATTGTCAGCTTCTAAACCAACCAAATTTTTTTTTGTTGGAAAGAGCAACATTTGAACTACAAGTTTTGTACCAGATTGTTTTCTGAACGAATCTACGATGCAAGACGAGCTACAGGTTAAACATCTCTAAAAAAGTTCTTGCAACATTTTTGCAATTTAAAACGTTTGTGCTTCTTAACTGTCTTGAGTTACATGGATCGAATTCTAAAAAAATGCACCAAAATGTGACATATTGAAAGTAATATTGATATTAGCTTTGATAAACTTTTTAATACTAGCTCTTGACTCTTTGATGAAAACAATAGGAAATTGAAATTTTTGTAAAAAAGGAGTCTTTTGCAAGAATTATCTATTTGGAAGTAGATCAACCAGAGTTTCGAGAAACTATGTGTGAACTGCAATCTTTGTATGCGATTTGTTTCATATACGTCAGATTCTAGAAACTTAGCAAAAAAAAGGAGTTGGAAAAACCTCATTTATTGTTGCAACACGGTCAAGTAATAGCAAAGATAAAATTATACAGTGTCATCCAGAAATTGGTATATTTTTCTAAAAAAACCAACACTAAATTTAATTTCAAATACATTATTGGAAAGAGAACTCTTTATTCTACAAAATCATCATTACATGTGCGTTTTCATTTTGCTATTAATATTAAAAAAAAATAAAATTGCGCGAGATGAAGTTGGAAGAACTTTTTAGAGATGTTTGAATTTTGGCCTCTCCTGCTTTGTAGATTCGTTCAGAAAGAATAAGTTTGGTACAAAATATGTTCTAGCATACGTTGACATTTTTTTCAAGACTTTTGCATGATATGTTGACTCATTTCAATATCTCAGAAGAAAATCAAGGAATCTTTAACTGGTCCATCATTGTCTGAAATCAAGTATATATCAAACGTGTTTGGCAAGGGGAAGTAGATATATTTGTTTTCAATTTTATTTAAAAGATACATCTATTAACTGTTCAGAAATCTTATTAGTATTTGCTTAGAATGATGAAGAAGATAGTCAATTATTTCAGAATTTAAAATATTTAAAATTGACAGATGATTGTTTGGAATTACTTTCAAAATTAGTCTATTTGACAAATTTAGAAAAAATTGTATTAATAATATGTTCTCGTGGTAATTATCTTAATTTAATGTTAAAAAATTTTTAATTTTCTTAAAAAATTGATCAAATGTTAATTCAATTGAAATATTTAATTGATAGCATGGATTTTTTTCATTTATTGATATTAATTATTTTTGTTCAGTGATTCCCTCAAATATAAAACATGTTGATATTGATATATTCGATATAGATCATATTGAAATTCGTATTGATAAACTTGAAAATGTATTAAGTTTTAAATTTAAATTTGCATTTGATATATCACTTTATATAAAACAAGTTCTTCAATCGTTAACAAATAAAAGACCTCATTCAACATATATATCTGATATTCATTATTTATCTATTTGGATATCAAGACAATTTATTCGAACTATTTCGAATAAACGTATGAAATTAACAAATTATTTCTTTTGTTTTTCATGTTTGTAAATAAATTATTAGACTTAATAGAAAACGGTTCTCATTCGACAAAGAATACTTAAGAGTGGTGTTTAACTACTTCGAAAAAAGCAGCAATCAATATGCAGATTTGACTAAAAGATATTGGCGGAGCCAGGATTCTGACTTAAAAGAGTTGTGTCCTGTAGGCTTGAAGCATTTATAGCCTTTAAATGAGCAATATGAACGGCTAGATTTGGGAAGCACGATCAATACTTTGTTTTAAGAATTAGAAGATAACTCAAATATTGTGATTGATCATCAANTAAAATAAAATTATTTTTGATGATAACGAAATTTTTGAAACAAAATTGAATTATTTTGTAATATAATACTATGCCATTTTCAATCTCAAGAACGTTGAAAAATTCGCCTTTTATTTATTTGATTAAGTGGTAGAACATACATTAATTCTAATGCTCCTCAATTGACTCCTTCTATTTTACTTTAATTTTCTCTTACGATTTAAGAATCTACGATAGTCCTACTAGATTAAAACATATCAGAGAAAATTCACATTGACATTATAATAAAATGAAAATGATGGCTATTTCTGAAAATGTGTATCTTATAATAGAGTTCCATGTAAAAACAGCTCTTAGATTATTAACTATCGAAGATATCAGTAGATTGGTGCATTCTAAAACAATAGGTTTATTACTGAACTTTAAAAGTTCTGCATTCATATACCGAACCATTTTAAGTTCCGCGGAATGGAAATAGTTTCGTGGATGATCTAAAGGTTTCGTATATTTTACATCAAACGGTGAATAGTTTCGTGAGGTATCAGTTATATATATATATATATATCATAGAGAGAAAAGAACAGAACAAACGTTGAGCGCAATGCAGGAAGAGTAGAAACATGTGATAAACTCATTAGCGGTATATCATTTTATAAGAAAAGAGATTACTTTGAACGTAATGAGTGATAAGCAAACGATATAGTGATTAGCAGTATACAAGTATAACAGAACAAAGCATAAAGTAGTAGGTAATAGCTGATGACATCATAAGCTTAGAGCAACAGATACGAACAATAAACTTGGACAAAAAGTGACACTATAAACGATCCAAAACAATTTCATCAGGAAACGTCACAGTATGAACGACCCAGGATCTCCAAGCATCCCTAAACAGAAGTGTTTTTCAACTTTTACTTTGGAACCGCTGCTGGAGATGCATCTTCCGCATCTCCTTGCACTTCTCCAGCCTCTCCGATTTCTCGGATATGTGACGCTGCTGAAGACTATACAAAAAAAACGCTCCCGGCGATATATACCAAGAAATTAAAGACTTCGCTGCATCGCATGATATTTTAGTCAATGATTGTTACAAAGGAAATATTTATTAATATAGCAGGTTTGTCATGATATGCATCAGTTGCGTATATGATAGTATATTTTTGATATACCTTTCTGATTTGTTGGCTCGGTAAAAAATAATAAATTAGTGAAAGTAATAACCGACGGTTTATTGTCGCCATCGGACGTTGTCTTCGAACGGGCTCCTCAAGTGAATGCGACATTGAATGTTCGACTAGTGATACATAGTTTGCTGATACTATTGGCACATCAGAAGCATCTATGCCTTATCGACGTTTACTCGCATTAAATCCTTGTATCATATTTGCCTTATTACAAATTCTAGTCTAATCACATAGAAAATACATGTTATTCATAGCCAATCGATTAATTACTGAAGCTCATATATGAACAAACCATTTACTGACTATACCTTTTCTGACACTTTTAATACATCCACTCCGATCAGTAGTGATAAAAATAATACAAGGGTTGATTCCGACCTATTAGTAACACCAATCAAGTCATAAATTAGTACTCGGAAACTGACTTGATTACGATCTAACCGTTCGTTATAGTAAAAAAAAGAACAGTTACCGTCTTCTTTTTCTAATGTATGCTTCATTCTCGGAACTTTGGCTGTATTTCACTTATTATCATGTCATGCAATGCAGCGAAGCTTGCACTTTCTTTCACCATATATCGGTTATCCAAAAAAAAACAGCTCTCAATAATCATAAGCAAGGAAAACGGAGGGATAAAATTCAAATGAAATGCGTTGTTATATTTCTTCATTTATTACTTGAGCATGATCACAAAGGCTGGTATGTCGATTTAATTAATTGATGCGATCCAATTAGCACAAATGTAGAACTTTAGTCTGTATAATAATTGAACGATATAAGGAACAATGAAGCGAAGACTAACAGTTAAACCACCATATAGACTTAAAATTCGTGATATAACATATAATGCATTCTTGCGCTCATTGACTGTATGAAGACAGTAGATCGGGGCACATTGTTGATAAAACAAAGGATATGACGCATTGAAATGCCATTGTTCAACAAATAGTGCATCGACAATATGCTGAATAATAGTGTTCGGTGGGAAACGACTAATTAATGAAATGTTCATTGCTGTTGCGTTGACTGTTGCCGGAAAAACGTCTGAGTCGTTAATTGTCAAATATTTCTCTAGATAGTCAATCGATGTTTGATTGTACAAAAATGCAAAAGTGGATCTGAGCAATGTTTCCAATACTGAACAACCAAGAACCCATCCTGGCATTACCAAAGAAAAGGCAGCTGGATCAATACAATCATTCCTTGTGCCACACGAGCACTGATTATTTACAATGACAGGAGAGTTCAGTACAGTTGCAATCCAGTTGATAAACATTCAGATAGAAGTACCAATTTAAAGCATAGCTGGACACATATGTATTGCTATGTATAAAATCTCGTATAAGCTGGATAGCATGAGAAAAGCGAAGAGCGGTATCACTTTCAAACTGATTCCCTATATCAGTCATTCGTGAC